ACTGACTCTGTCTGTGTCTGTAGATCCATCGGCGTTGGCGTTGGAGTTGGCGTTGGCATTGGCATCGGCGTTGGCGTTGGCGTTGTCGCGCTGATCCTGTGGGCGTCCCTGGAGGATGACGGGCCCCCGGGCGCTGGTCTGGGGTCATGTGTTTGTGTTGGTGCTGTGTCTGTCTGAGGCTCAGGACTTCGACTGGACCAACACCAAGCAGCATGGATCCTTCTATTACGGCACTTTTCCAACTGGTACAGGCTCCGCGTCAGTGTTTTTAATGTTCTGTGTGCAGACAGCGCCCCCTCTGTTCATATGTATATATATTTATATATATTTATATGTTCACATGTGACTTTACACATGATTCACCACTTTCCTCGTCTCTGCTGTGGAGATCAGAACGTCACAATATTCAAACTCAATTCAGAAAAGTTTATTGTCAAGTCTTTATAAGAAAAATATGAAGAATCGAAATTGTGTTTCTCACTTTCAAACGTATAAATAAATAATAATAATTGGAAAAGTCCAACTGTTTTTGGTGAGAGATCGTGAAGATGTGGTTGTTGTTTTTTTTGAAGCAAGGAATTTCTGAAGTGTTTATGTGTGTAGATTTGAGGACAAAACAGGAGCACAGTGGACACGAGGAGGAACTGTCCTCTACGTACAAGAAGAGCTTTTCTTTTCAGGGATTGAAACATGAGGTCCTCTAGTTTTACTTTGAGAAGAAATAAACATCAAATAAAAGGATAAATGTTGAACCTGATCATCTGTGTTCATGACTTGACCTTTTTGTCTCTGTCTTATTAACAGAATCTTTGAACAATATTCATTTTCGCTGCTCCTTTTTTCTTGCTGTGTGTTTTTGGCGTCAGGATTTTCGTGGGGAGCCGGCAGCTCCGCGTATCAAACCGAAGGAGCCTGGGACAAAGATGGAAAAGGTCTGAGCATCTGGGACGTTTTCTCCCACAAGAACGGAAAAATCCAACAGAACCAGACCGGAGACTCGTCCTGTGAAGGATACTACAAAGTCAAGGTACCTGCGGGATCGGAGGACGACTCTGAAGTCTTCACGCGGTGCAGGGACGTCACGCTGGGGGGGGCTGCATGTGTCTCTATGGTGGAATGTTCAGCAGTTTTCATCGATCCACAGTGCACACATTCACAAAAACTGACAAAAAAGTTTTAAAATAGTCTGAAAATCAAAGTTAAACAGCACATTTGTAGGAGCCTGTGACCAGAGCCAGAGTTCGAGGTCGAGTTCAGGAGTTTTCAGGTAAAAGGTGAAAGTTCATTACACTGACTGTGATTTTATGAGACGAACAAATCAGCCGCTGGATTCAGACGGTTTCACTTCATAGAAACAGTCTGACCTGCAGCATCAGGACTCATTCACTCACAGTGTTGGGAAGGTGACTTTTAAAATGTAATCCCCTACAGATTACAGATTACATCCCCCAAAATATAATCTGTAACGGAATCCATTAAGTTAGATAAAGTGAGTAATGTAATCTGATTACTTTGGATTACTTGATTTGCTGTAAAGAAACAAATACCAGGAAATCGTAACATAAGAAGTTTTATCTGCTAAAAGTAAATGAAAAGTCCAAACTTTACTGAACCAAATTAAAAATATTATTGATAGAAGAAGAAGAAACACGTCCACACAGCAGGATTTAGTCCTGTTCAATCCTGTTTTAGTCCTGGTTTAGACCTGGTTTAGTCCTGGTTTAGTCCTGGTTTAGTCCTGGTTTAGACCTGGTTTAGTCCTGGTTTAGTCCTGGTTTAGTCCTGGTTTAGACCTGGTTTAGTCCTGGTTTAGACCTGGTTTAGTCCTGGTTTAGTCCTGGTTTAGTCCTGTTTAGACCTGGTTTAGTCCTGGTTTAGACCTGGTTTAGACCTGGTTTAGTCCTGGTTTAGACCTGGTTTAGTCTGGTTTAGTCCTGGTTTAGTCCTGGTTTAGTCCTGGTTTAGTCCTGGTTTAGTCCTGGTTTAGACCTGGTTTAGTCCTGGTTTAGTCCTGGTTTAGTCCTGGTTTAGACCTGGTTTAGACCTGGTTTAGTCCTGGTTTAGTCCTGGTTTAGACCTGGTTTAGACCTGTTTAGACCTGGTTTAGTCCTGGGTTTAGTCCTGGTTTAGTCCTGGTTTAGTCTGGTTTAGACCTGGTTTAGTCTGGTTTAGAACCTGGTTTAGTCCTGGTTTAGACCTGGTTTAGTCCTGGTTTAGTCTTGGTTTAGACCTGGTTTAGACCTGGTTTAGTCCTGGTTTAGACCTGGTTTAGACCTGGTTTTAGTCTGGTTTAGACCTGGTTTAGTCTGGTTTAGACTGGTTTAGACCTGGTTTAGACCTGGTTTAGTCCTGGTTTAGACCTGGTTTAGTCCTGGTTTAGTCCTGGTTTAGTCCTGGTTTTAGTCCTGGTTTAGTCCTGGTTTAGACCCTGGTTTAGTCCTGGTTTAGTCCTGGTTTAGTCCTGGTTTAGTCCTGGTTTAGTCCTGGTTTAGTCCTGGTTTAGTCCTGGTTTTAGTCCTGGTTTAGTCCTGGTTTAGTCCTGGTTTAGTCCTGGTTTAGTCCTGGTTTAGTCCTGGTTTAGTCCTGGTTTAGACCTGGTTTAGTCCTTTTAGGTTTAGTCCTGGTTTAGTCCTGGTTTAGTCTTGGTTTAGTCTGGTTTAGTCTTGGTTTAGTCCCTGGTTTAGACCTGGTTTAGTCCTGGTTTAGTCCTGGTTTAGACCTGGTTTAGTTCCTGGTTTAGACCTGGTTTAGTCCTGGTTTAGTCCTGGTTTAGACCTGGTTTAGTCCTGGTTTAGTCCTGGTTTAGACCTGGTTTAGACCTGGTTTAGTCCTGGTTTAGTCCTGGTTTAGTCCTGGTTTAGACCTGGTTTAGTCCTGGTTTAGTCCTGGTTTAGTCCTGGTTTAGACCTGGTTTAGTCCTGGTTTAGGGTTTAGTCCTGGTTTAGACCTGGTTTAGTCCTGGTTTTAGTCCTGGTTTAGTCCTGGTTTAGTCCTGGTTTAGTCCTGGTTTAGTCCTGGTTTAGTCCTGGTTTAGTCCTGGTTTAGTCCTGGTTTAGTCTTGGTTTAGTCCTGGTTTAGTCTTGGTTTAGTCCTGGTTTAGTCCTGGTTTAGTCCTGGTTTAGTCCTTGGTTTAGTCCTGGTTTAGTCCTGGTTTAGTCCTGGTTTAGACCTGGTTTAGTCTGGTTTAGTCCTGGTTTAGTCCTGGTTTAGTCCTGGTTTAGACCTGGTTTAGTCCTGGTTTAGTCCTGGTTTAGTCCTGGTTTAGTCCTGGTTTAGTCCTGGTTTAGACCTGGTTTAGACCTGGTTTAGTCCTGGTTTAGTCCTGGTTTAGTCCCTGGTTTAGACCTGGTTTAGTCCTGGTTTAGTCCTGGTTTAGTCCTGGTTTAGTCTTGGTTTAGTGTCCAGCAATGAGTGGAATTATACCGAAAAATATACCAGGAAAATCCCGCCGTGTAATCGATTTATTTTAACAAAGTAACTGTAATCCCATTACCACTCATTGAAACAGTAACTGTAACTGAATACAGTTACTCATCATTTGTACTCTGATTACTTCACTCTGGTACATCTGTTACTCCTGACACTGTTCACTCGACAGAAGACGGGGACTTTTCTTATTGAACCAGTCGCTGCTGTTTGGTCGTGACGTTTGTAAAGCTCCAAATCCTGGAGGAAGAAGAACAATAACGTCTTTCCCCGAGATCAAACTCACCAAACATTCTCTTTGTTCAGACTTTAAATCCTCGATCTCGTGAATCGTCGCCAACACAGAATGTCTGTCTCTTCTCTGATTGGCTGGTGTCCGAACTTGCACTTCCGGGTTTTTTTTTGCAAACGTTTATTTTATTCTGATTCTTGACCTGGAGCTGGAGAGGAGTGAAACTGAGTGGAGGCACTAGGTGGCGCCAGACTCACTACAAATCAGCTCCAATAAAACCTGCTGTTGTTCTTCAGTTCTTTTTTCAGACCCAGACTTTGTTTTCATCAGTTTGTTTTGCTCCTGTTCTTCTTCAGAGGAACTGTCCAAACTGTCAGGAGGAAAACAAACTCTGGGTCTGAACCTAAGAACCTTAAGAACATCAATTATCAGAAGAACAAATGAACCTCGTTGGACTAAAACCTGTGGTAGTTCCAACTTAATCAGCTCTTTGTGATCAGATTATGTTGAACAAAACTCAGATTAAGTCAAATAAACCTTCAGACGGAGCAGTGCCTTAAAGGTTGTATGGAGGATTTTTTCGTTCAGTTTCAAATTGTCAGTGAAAGTTTAAAACACCATTACAGAGACGCAGCAGCCTTGTAATTATGATGATAAAAAAAACCAAAAAACGAATGAAAATCTATCAACTGTGGACGCAGTGAGGCCATATAAACATCAGCCAATAGAAAACAAGGCTCCCTCATTTTCTATTGGCTGTTAGGTTGTCAATCAAACTCCCTACATTTCTAGTGTAACTGACTCTCGGCGCGCGGGGATCACGTGGTTTATGCAGCGGTTCTTAGAGGCTTTTTTAAACTGTCGCTTCCTCGCAGTTCGCACAAAGTTTGTCGAGACGGCGGACGAGAATCCACGACCAGTTCGCCGCAAAAGAAAGTCCGTTTTTGAGGTCGCTGAAAGAAAAAGAGAAGGAGAAAAGGAGCGAAGACAAACTGAGGTGATTCTTGGAGATTCCTTCCAGCGATGGCGCGAATGAAGCAGACGAAGGGTCTAAAAACTGACACGTCGGTCGCGAAAATATTTCTAGGCAGGAAACTTCAACAGTGATTCTGAACGAGCACTGGATGTAAACAAGTGTGATTTCTAGAGTAAAGAGGCGGGAGGAGGAGGTGTTTCTACTGAGGCTGTGGAGGAGGAAGGTGGTGTCACACATGCACAACATTTGAAAAAGAACTGTCGCTGTATTTCACTTCCCTTAAAAAATCCTCTTTATACAACCTTTCAGTTAGCGTCACACCTCCAGAGGATGATGACCTCAGACGTGAAGGATCAACAGTCGTTTGGTTTCAGACGACGTCACAGTTTTCTATACGAATACGAATGAAGAAAATAAAAACTGTAAAAATGTAAAATGATGTTTGTAAAACGGTGAGTTCTTGTGTTTGGTCGATGACAGAAAATATCAGGTTCAACATTTGTGCTTTTACTTTTTGGATAATTTACGGCAAAATAACAAGAATCTAGAATCAGATTTTTCTTTTCAGATTCTCCAGTGTGATGACGTCACTCACAGACGGGGCCAGGGTCAGTGTTTCCTGCTGATTTTATTGTATTTAACATGAAATATCCAAGAAGTAAATGCACAAATATCAAATCTGATCATTTCTGTTTTTGACTCGACACAAATCTGCAGATGAACATTGTTCCTCTGAGCCGCCGTCGTCTGCGTGAAATAACATTGACCTGTAGAATCATGTGACGTCGTCTGAAACCGACCAATAAAATGACACGGTTCAAACACTGTTAAACTTATTTTATTGTGTTATTTTTGTGTCCTGAACCCCTCTGACCTCTGACCTCTGACCTCTGCCCTCAGGACGACGTGGCTCTGATGAAGGAGCTGAAGTTGAATCATTACAGGTTCTCGGTGTCGTGGCCGCGCCTCATCCCCACCGGAGTCAAGTGTGAGTCTGGAAACACACAACTTATCAAAGATTTTATTTCTGCGAGACTCACAGCAGCAGCAGAGCAGATTTAAACATAAAGCTGCACTGCGGAACTTTACCACATTAAACATTTCCATCAGTGTGTTTGTGTTTGTCAGAAACACAATCATTCCTCCTCTCCACAGATCTGACCTGTGATGTGGCTGTGACCCGCTCGTCTCCATGGTGATAAAGAGTTTAATTTAAACTGTGGAACATTCTAGACAAACAGGTGCTGGACTCTCCACGAGAAATGTTACACAGTGCAGCTTTATGGTCAAAAACTGACTTAATCTGATCAGGTTCACACAGAAATATTTACGTACAGAAAAAGAAGAATCTTTTCCAACTAATTAGACCAGGAGAGTTAAACTCATTTTGTTCCGGGCGTCGTGTCCAACCGACTTTGATCCAAAGTGTCCGGATCAGAAAACTCATGTCATATAAACCCCAAAAATAACAATAAGTTCAAATATTTGTGCAGAGAAACACAAATCTATTACACAAATCTTTTTAATTGATGAACTCTTTCTTTTACAAAATATTATAATATTATGAACAACCTGAAACTTTAAGAAAAATAAAAATTTCAACACAAAGTTTGAACATGAACTTGTTTAACTTAACTTGTATAAATAGGAATAAGTCAATTTTTGTTGTAAAATCCTGCACTCGGCTCCACTTTTCTCATGTTGGACATTTTTCTGATGAGGGTGTCACGGTCAACAGTCAAAACGATCGTCCTTTAAGAGCGTTTGGAAAGAGACAAGTCTTCATTTGTGCTGCTCTGGTGGGAGGGGCCACGTACAGAGACGCTGGAGACGCTGCTGTGATAAACACCACAGAAAATTAACACCATTTTAATAGAAAATATCATTAAAATATTTTAGTAGAAAATCTGCCGAGGGCCACATTAAAGATCTTGGAGGGCCGGATCTGGCCCCCGGGCCGCATGTTTGACACCTGTGAAGTAGAGAATCACCTTTATTTTTGATCAGAGTGAGGACACGACCAAACGATGTGTTAAAAATAAACGATAATATCAAAGAAAGTTCTACTCATTTATATTTTCAGAGTTTTCCTTTGTAGAAAAATCTCACAAATCTGTTTTTTGTGGAAACACCTCCGTCCCTCCGTCCATTTTCTTCCGCTTCAGTTCCTCCATTTGGACCCTGAGCTGTTCCCAGTCCAGAGACACAGTCCCTCCAGCCTCAAAACACAAAGTTTTTCTTATTTCCACAACTTACAGAAACTCCACTGATGCAGCTGCGCGTCTAAAAAACACGAGCACATCACCTCCAGTTCATCGTCCTGACGGCACAGACGCTTCAGGAGCCGTTTAAACTGATTTTATTTGTTTTTAAATGTTTGACTGGTGACGCCCTGATGGACCTCGGACTCCAGCCGCACACTCCTGCACGACACTCAGGTCGACTCACCAGCTCCTCCTGAGGGCGATGAAGAGCAGCTCCTCCTGAGGGCGATGAAGAGCAGCTCCTCCTGAGATGAAGAGCAGCTCCTCCTGAGGGCGATGAAGAGCAGCTCCTCCTGAGGGCGATGAAGAGCAGCTCCTCCTGAGGGCGATGAAGAGCAGCTCCTCCTGAGGGCGATGAAGAGCAGCTCCTCCTGAGGGCGATGAAGAGCAGCTCCTCCTGAGGGCGATGAAGAGCAGCTCCTCCTGAGGGCGATGAAGAGCAGCTCCTCCTGAGGGCGATGAAGAGCAGCCTGAAGCCTTTGCGGTGGCTGCACCAAAACTGTAGAACGATCGACCTTCGCACATTAGACAAACTCTTCCATCGCTGGTTTTAAATCTCTTCTTAAACGTCACTTCTTCACTTTGGCCTTTGACACAGTTTGAGATGTTCACATTTTATTAGATTCTTTTCATTTCATTCTTTTTTTATTCATATGTGTTTATGTGTCAGCTCGTTCAGGTCAGGGAAGTAACAAAAAAACAATTAAATAATGTTTAATCAACAGGAATGTAAAAGGTAAATTAACAAAACAGACTAAAATATATTACAGAAAAAATAATAATAATAAAATAATAATAAACTGAGAAACAAAACAACAGGATTAACATACAACGAGTTTTGTGCCACAAAACGGGTCACGCAGGTCTAAACAAAAACAAGAGATTAAACTAAGAGACACAGACAAAAGTAAAACACAAGTGTCTCAAAGTAAAAGCACAAAAACCCACAAACACAATCAAGAGAACAAATCAAAAAACCACAAAACAAAACTAAACTACACACGTAAACACAAACACAAAATGACCAACGGGCCACCAACTCCAGTGAACGAACAGAGGGCGGAGTCTCCTTAAACAGGGGGCGGAGTCTCCTTAAACAGGGGGCGGAGTCTCCTTAAACAGGGGGCGGAGTCTCCTTAAACAGGGGGCGGAGTCTCCTTAAACAGAGGGCGGAGTCTCCTTAAACAGGGGGCGGAGTCTCCTTAAACAGGGGCGGAGTCTCCTTAAACAGGGGGCGGAGTCTCCTTAAACAGGGGGCGGAGTCTCCTTAAACAGGGGGCGGAGTCTCCTTAAACAGGGGGCGGAGTCTGCAGGTGAGGCAGGTGTAAAAGTTCTCCACCAATCACGGACCAGGACCCAGATCCCACAGCAGGATCCAGAGCAGCAAAATTATTTAAAACACACAAAACAAATGACACGTGAAGGTCTGGATCCGAGACAACGTGATGTTTTATTGTTTTGATTGAATTCTTGTTTCCTGTGTTATAAATACATTTGTAGCTGCAGTTAGATGTTCCTCTGAACCTCTCACCTTCAGCCGCTTCTGGAGAACTGCAGGATGAAACGTAGAGAAGAAGCTTGACGTTAAAGTGTAATGTTCTGCTCTTGTGGTTGAAGCGGACCACGTGAACGACAGAGGAATCCAGTACTACGACGAGCTCCTGGACACGCTGCTGGAGAACGACATCACGCCCATCGTCACGCTCTACCACTGGGACCTGCCGCAGGTCCGAGCGCTCGTCCAGTCACCGGCTCACACACCCCTGACCTCTGACCTCTGACCTGTAACCCCTGTGCTTCAGGTCCTGCAGGAGAAGTACGGCGGCTGGCAGAACATCAGCATCATCAACCATTTTAACGACTTCGCCAATTTGTGTTTTGAGAAATTTGGGAATCGGGTGAAGTACTGGATCACCTTCAACAACCCCTGGGTGAGGACCAAGAACATCCACACAACTTTAACATTCAGCACGAGTTCTTCTCTCAAAACTCTCTGTTCCACCTTGTGTTTCTGCTTCAGTCTGTGGCGGTGGAGGGATACGAGACGGGAGAACATGCTCCTGGTCTGAAGCTGAAGGGCACCGGGGCCTACAGAGCCGCACATCACATCATCAAGGTCAAACTCACTTTGAAAACTCACTGATACTTCTGCACTTTTGTTCTTTTTTTAAACCCTCACTCTCTCCTCGGGGTCACACTGACCCCAAGAAAACATTTCTTGTCCTTCTCGCTCTCTTGAGTCAATCAGACCAAAAAATGTGTTTTCTCTCCTGGCGAGAATTTATTTGAAAATAAATGTTTGGGTCTGATTGACCCGCCCCAAGAGAGCGGGAAGGAAAAAAATGTTTTCTTGGGGTCAGTGTGACCCCGAGGAGAGAGTGAGGGTTAAAAACACAAGTTTATTTTTGTATCGCACAATTCAAACACAAAGTAAATCAATGTTTTACAGAAGAAGAAACACAAACAGGAAAATCACAAAACAAACAAATTAAAACATAAATAATCATCATAAAATTTAAATGAGAGAAAAAAGTGCAGAATGAAAAATTTAAATCTTTCTCTTAACTGCTAAAAAGAATGACTCTAAATTCAGACACAGACGTGTCACCTGCTCGTTCAGATGATGTTCAGATGATGTTCAGATGATGTTCAGATGATGTTCAGATGATGTTCAGATGATGTTCAGATGATGTTCAGATGATGTTCAGATGATGTTCAGATGATGTTCAGATGATGTTCAGATGATGTTCAGATGATGTTCAGATGATGTTCAGATGATGTTCAGATGATGTTCAGATGATGTTCAGATGATGTTCAGATGATGTTCAGATGATGTTCAGGTGATGTTCAGATGATGTTCAGATGATGTTCAGATGATGTTCAGATGATGTTCAGATGCACAGATCACACAGATTGTTTTGTAAATGTTCTGATGTTCAGGCAGATCACAGCTAAATGTCTGGTTCACACGTACGACGCTCAGTGGAGACAAAAACAGAAAGGTCCGTCACACAAACACAAACACACACACTGTGTGTCACACAAGTGTGTGTCAGAGCTGTGTGTGTGCGTTCAGGTGTGGTGGGATGAACTGATGTTCAGTGATGTTCAGGTGATGTTCAGATGTGTTCAGGTGATGTGTTCAGATGATGTTCAGTGTGTTCAGTGTGTTGTGTGTTCATGTGTGTGTGTGCATGTGTGTGTTGTGTGTGTGTTCAGTGTGTGTGTGTGTGTCATGTGTGTGTTCATGTGTGTGTTCATGTGTGTGTTGTGTTATGTGTGTGTGTGTGTTCATGTGTGTGTTGTGTGTGTGTGTTCATGTGTGTGTTCATGTGTGTGTTCATGTGTGTGTTCATGTGTGTGTTCATGTGTGTGTTGTGTGTTCATGTGTGTGTTGTGTGTTCATGTGTGTGTTGTGTGTTCATGTGTGTGTTGTGTGTTCATGTGTGTGTTGTGTGTCATGTGTGTGTTGTGTTCATGTGTGTGTTGTGTGTGTGTGTTCATGTGTGTGTTGTGTGTTCATGTGTGTGTTGTGTGTTCATGTGTGTGTTGTGTTCATGTGTGTGTTCATGTGTGTGTTGTGTTCATGTGTGTTCATGTGCATGTGTGTGTTCATGTGTGTGTTCATGTGTGTGTTCATGTGTTCATGTGTGTGTGTGTGTGTTGTGTGTGTGTGTGTGTGTGTGTGTGTGTGTTCATGTGTGTGTTGTGTGTGTGTTCATGTGTGTGTTGTGTGTGTGTGTGTCATGTGTGTGTGTGTGTGTGTGTATGTGTTCATGTGTGTGTGTTCATGTGTGTGTTGTTGTGTGTGTGTATGTGTGTGTGTGTGTGTTGTGTGTGTGTTCATGTGTGTGTTGTGTGTGTGTCATGTGTGTGTTGTGTGTTCATGTGTGTGTTCATGTGTGTGTTCATGTGTGTGTTCATGTGTGTGTTTGTGTGTTCATGTGTGTGTGTGTGTGTGTGTGTGTTCATGTGTGTGTTGTTCATGTGTGTGTTGTGTTGTTCATGTGTGTGTTGTGTGTGTGTGTGTGTTCATGTGTGTGTTGTGTGTGTGTGTGTTCATGTGTGTGTTGTGTGTGTGTGTGTTGTGTGTTCATGTGTGTGTTGTGTTCATGTGTGTGTTGTGTGTTCATGTGTGTGTTGTGTGTGTTCATGTGTGTGTTGTGTGTGTGTCATGTGTGTGTGTGTGTGTGTGTGTTCATGTGTGTGTTCATGTGTGTGTGTGTGTGTGTTCATGTGTGTGTTCATGTGCATGTGTGTGTTCATGTGTGTGTTGTTCATGTGTGTGTGTGTGTTGTGTGTTCATGTGTGTGTTCATGTGTGTGTTCATGTGTGTGTTGTGTGTTCATGTGTGTGTGTGTGTGTGTGTGTCATGTGTGTGTTGTGTGTTCATGTGTGTGTTGTGTGTTGTGTGTTCATGTGTGTGTTGTGTTCATGTGTGTGTGTGTGTGTTCATGTGTGTGTTGTGTGTTTCATGTGTGTGTTGTGTGTTCATGTGTGTGTTGTGTGTTGTGTGTTCATGTGTGTGTTGTGCATGTGTGTGTTGTGCATGTGTGTGTTGTTCATGTGTGTGTATGTGTGTGTGTGTGTGTGTGTCATGTGTGTGTTTGTGTGTGTTCATGTGTGTGTTTGTGTGTTCATGTGTGTGTTCATGTGTGTGTTCATGTGTGTGTTGTGTGTTCATGTGTGTGTTCATGTGTGTGTTTGTGTGTTCATGTGTGTGTTCATGTGTGTGTTTGTGTGTTCATGTGTGTGTCATCATGTCATGTGTGACTTGTGGTGTGTGTGTGTGTTCATGTGTGTGTTCATGTGTGCATGTGTGTGTGTGTGTGTTGTGTTGTTCATGTGTGTGTTGTGTTGTTCATGTGTGTGTTGTGTTGTTCATGTGTGTGTTGTGTTGTGTGTGTGTTCATGTGTGTGTTCATGTGTGTGTTCATGTGTGTGTTGTGTGTTCATGTGTGTGTTTCATGTGTGTGTTGTGTGTTCATGTGTGTGTTGTGTTGTTCATGTGTGTGTGTGTGTGTGTTCATGTGTGTGTGTGTTGTTTGTGTGTGTGTGTGTGTTCATGTGTGTGTTCATGTGTGTGTTGTGTTGTTCATGTGTGTGTTGTGTGTGTGTCATGTGTGTGTGTGTGATGTGTGTGTTGTGTGTGTTGTTCATGTGTGTGTTGTGTGTGTTGTTCATGTGTGTGTTGTGTTGTTCATGTGTGTGTTGTGTTGTTCATGTGTGTGTTGTGTTCATGTGTGTGTTGTGTGTTCATGTGTGTGTTGCATGTGTGTGTTGTGCGTTCAGGAGTTGTGGGCATCTCTCTGTCCGGTGACTGGGGTGAACCTGTGGACATCACAAACCAGAAGGACGTGGAGGCGGCTGAGAGATTCGTGCAGTTTTATCTGGGCTGGTTCGCCACCCCGCTTTTCCACGGAGACTATCCACAAGTCATGAAGGATTTTATCGGTAAAACACACAGCAAACAAACACACAACAAACAAACACACAACAAACACACAACAAACAAACACACAACAAACAAACACACAACAAACACACAAATCTACAAACAAACAAACAAACACACAACAAACAAACACACAACAAACAAACA